CCAGGCGTCAGGTTATAACGTAACGGGTGAGTCTTCCCCCTCGGACCTCGGAGAGCCGCTTGCAGTGCCGTAAAATATTCAACATCACGTGAAACCTCTTGTCAACTTTCAAAGCTGTGAACTCCTTGATGTCAGCTTCCACGATAAAATAATGACCTAGAAATAAAGGTATTAGTGCTAATTTGTACAAGGCCAACCTTTACGATGCGTTGTTAATGCATTCAACTGTGAACACCCTTGGCATTAACCAAAAGCAAACTCTGGTGTTCTTACTAAAATAAAAACTGCAACTCTTTACGGGAGTAGAAAACACCATCTTTTTCCCATGGAGCAGCTGGTGATTTCGAACTGCTGACCTTAAGGTTAGCAGTCCAGTGCATAACCAACTACACCACCAGAGCTCCTAATTACTGTACCTACCTCGTAATATACGAGGCCCAAAGCTCTTAGTGTCGTATCTGGTGCACAGTGAGTGTTATATAAATCCAACCCACTGTCGTGACTATTCTAATTCACAGTAAACCGGGCGCAGTTCCACAGCAGAATCTGCAAGGATTTCTCAGCCACAGCATGACTAGCATTTTGAGGTCTGAGCATCCTTTCTCAGGGTGGAGGTGGCTGTCTTGTGTATTGTAGAACGTTTCAGCAGCAGTCCTGAACTCTCCCCACTACACGCTAATAGCATCCCCTACGTAGGTTGTAACCACCACAAATGTCTGTAGATGCTGCCAAATGTGCCCTAGAAGGCAAACCCGTTTCAAATGAAAACTGCCTCTCTATAAGTTTCCAGGATTAGCTCTGCTTCTCGTGATGCAGTTGGCCAAGAGACAGTTGACTGTACCTTTGGTATCCTTGGTTTCCTCTTCAATAAACCTGTGGTAGAGGTTTCTGGTCGCAGAATTCATGGACTTCTTGGGCTGATGAACAATCTGATATTTACTAGCTACTGCCTTGTTGATTTCTTTAATAACATCATTAATTTGACAATAAGTTAAGCGGGACTTCATGTACCTGGGGTGGGGGGGGAGTATACTATTAGTTTTTTTTTCTTTTTAAAGAATCATCAAACAAAGTCATTTCCTCTGAAAGACAACGATTTTGTATGTTAGTAAAGCTAGACACAGAAAGTACCCTTTATGACGATACATTCACATCAATTCCAAACGGACCTGAGACATAGACAACTGAGCAAAGAAACTGGAACACCTCAGGGCTTATCTTGTCTAACTACGCCTGTGTACAGTCATCAGCGGTTATTGTCAGGTGCTGCTCAATCAGTTCTGGGTCACAGCAACCCTATGCGTGACAGAACCAACACTGACCCCCAGTTTTGAGCCATCCTCACAACTGCTGCAGCCCTGGGGTCAGCCCACCTTGAGGGGAGCAGAGGACTGGGAAGATGGTAGAGGTGGATGAATGCTTTACTTTTTAAAATTATTATTATTTCTAATAAATCATTTTATTGGGTGCTCTTACAGCTTATAACAATTCAGACATCCATTGTGTCAAGCACATTTGTACATATGCTGCAATTATCCTTTAAAAAAACATTTTCTTTCTACTTCAGCCCTTGGTATCACCTCATTTTTTTCCCTTCCTCCCCCACCTCCCTCATGAACCCTTGATAAATTATGTTATTTTTATCTTCATATCTTACACCATATGCTGACTCTCTTCACCCATGTTTCTGTTGTTCGTCACCCTTGGGGGTGAGGTGGGGTTACACATCGATCATTATGATCAGTTCCTCCTTTCTGCCCCCATCTCCCCCCTACCCTCATGGTATCACTACTCCCTTACTGTTCCTGAGGATTTTATCGGTCCTGGATTCCATGTTTAGAGAGCTCTTATCTGTACCAGTGTACATACTCTGGTCTAGCCAGATTTGTAAAGTACAAGTGGGGTCATGAGAGTGGTGGGGGAGAAATCATTCAAGAATTAGAGGAATGTCGTATGTTTCATCAGTGCTGGCTCATCCCTTCCTTGTGACCCTTCTGTGAGGGGATGTACAACTGTCTACAGATGAGTTTTGAGACCCCACTCCGGTCCCCCTTGTTCGCATCGATATGATTGTTTGTTTGGGGTCTTCTGATGCCTGATACCTGATCCTGTCAACACTTTGTGATCACACAGGCTGGTGTGCTTCTTCTATGTGGGCTTTGTTGCTTCACAGCTGGGTAGCAGCTTGTTTAACTTCAGGCGCTCTGTCTTTTAATAGCTGTGCACCATCAGCTTTCTTCACCACATTAGCTTATGAACCCGTTTTGTCTTCAATGATTGTGGCAGGAAGGTGAGGTTATTAGAACAAAATGTTCTTGTGTTGAGGGAGGACTTAAGTAGAGGCCCAGTGTCCATCTGCTACCTTAACACTTAACATATAAATATATGTACATAGACTTATATCCCTATGTTTATATATAAATCTGTTTACATATGTATGTGCCTGAATTTATACCTCTAAAAATGTCTTTGCCTCCTAGCTCTTTCCTCTATCTCCTTTTACTTTCCTCCTGTCCCACTATTATTTTTGACCTTCTTTCAGCTCTCAGCTACATTGCACTTGACCAAACCCCACCAGGCATTCTACAACCTCTTCGCCATCAATTTTAGATCACTTGTTCACTTGTACCTGGGGGTTCTTACAGCTATTATAACAATCTATTCATCAATAGTATCAAGTATATTTGTACATTATTTCCTAAACATTTCTTTTCTATTTGAGCCCTTGGTATCAGCTCTTCTTTTTCCCCCAGCCTCCCCCTTTACTCCCATATTTTAAGAAGCCTGGCAGGCTAGGATGCTGGGGCAGAGGGATGCGTTCACATTTGTGAGTTGGAGATCAAGCCCCAATCATATTCTCATAACTAATATTGTTCCCCACTATGTCCTCCTATAATAGTGCTACCTTCAGGTTACCTCTTACAAGCACTAGGCTGATTGCCAACTAGCCCAAAGCTCCAACTATAGAGGCAGGTGGGCTATTGCTCTCTAGGCTCTGAAGTCAGCTCCTCCCCCTTACCTGCCCCCGGCACTGGTGTTGGGTTACTCCTCCAATGAACTCAGGGACCTTTAGGGTTAGGGTACAGCCCGCTTTGTTACGTGTGTGGTTACTTGTAATGAGGGAGGCTTGCACGCCCGAGCTTATATAAGCTGTTGTTGGAAATATAATCTCTCTCTCCACACGGACTTGGCTCCTGAAGACATGGCGGTGGTGAGCACCCTTAAACTTTTGTCTGTCTCTTAATTTCTTCCCGTCATTGAAGGTTCTGCCTCTTAGAACCCTCCGGATGTGAGGCTGGGCTTCACACCATCTCCTCCTTAAGAGATGGGCTCAATTTTCCACTCATACATGCACCCCCACTGTCATCGGATCCATTCTGACTCATAGCAGCCCTGTATGACAGGGGAGGACTATAACTCTTTACAGAAGCAGGCTGCCACATCTTTCTCCCACAGTGCAGTTCATAGGTTCAAATGTCAGGCTTTCTAGATAGCAGCCAAGTACTTTACTGCTGAAATTATAAGGGCCAACCTTTCAAGAAGATATAGCTACCCTTAATGTATATGCACCTAACGACAAAATGAGGAAAAACTGAGGAGGGAACTGCAAGAAGAAATAGACAAATCCGCCATTATAGTTGGAGGCTTCAGGTGCAGCAGGCAGAACATCAGTAAGGATATAGTTGAACTGACCATCACATCCATCAACTGGATTTAATTGGCATTTATAGATTACTTCATCCATTCTTCTCAAGCACACATGGATCATTCACCAAAAATGACCACATTCTGGGCCATCCATCAAAATTCATCAAGAATATAAGTCATACAAACTACGCTTGGAGGTCACAATGGAATAAAACTAGAAAAGCAATCACAGAAAAATGAAGAGAAAAATCTCAAAATATTTGGAGATTCGTCACAGTCCTCCAAGCCATTCAGAAATACTTTCATGTAAGGGAAAACGAAAATACAACTTTCCAAGATGTGTGGGTGACCCTCATCGAATAGTGCAGGTGAGAAAGCAAAATGGCGCAGCCACTACCGAAAACAGGCTGGCAGTTCCTCAAAAAATTACACCCAGAACTGCCAGGGCCACGCAATTCTCCGACGAGGTATATGAAGAGGCTTCAGAAGACTGGGTGGAAAAGAGAATGGGCTTTTTATCCTGTGTTTGAAGCTCCCCGCTAGACTAAAAAGACGTAAAAGCAGTGATGCGATACTGCTGCACCGTTGGCCACGAGCAGCCAAAGGGCGGAAACAGCCTGTGGGTCAATCGATGGAGGGGTGGATACACAAAATGTGGCTCCTACAGTGGGCTGCTATTTAGTGCAGAAGAGTGAAGTACTGATCTATGCTTCAGCGTGGATGAACCTTGAAAACATGAGTGAAACAAGGCAATTGCAGAAGGACAAATGTCTGATCTCACTCCCGTGGAATGGCAAATGCACAGCGACGGGGTGGGAGTGAGTGGGGCCATTGCTTGGGAAACAGCGTGTTTCTGTTCATGGTGATGGGAAATTTGATGATGAGAATCAGTGACAGTTACATGCCTCATTAATTTAACGGATATCGGTGAATGTACACCTGAAACACTGACTTGGAAAATGTGTTTTATACATATGTATGTATTGTATCAGAAATTAAGATAACTGGAGGCACAGATTATTCTTATCACAAGTGAAAGAGAGGCTATCACTAGAGAGCTCATGGATATTAAAAGATGGTTGCTGTTGCTGGCCATCAGGTGGATTCGAACTCACGGCCACAAGCCAGGTGTACAGGGCAGAACTGCTCCATGAGTTTTCAAGGTTGTGACCTCTCGTGAAACATCTTCAGGCCTGTTTTGGGAAGGTACCTCTGGGGGAGTTCTTTTAGAAAACAGAAGCAGAAGGAAGACTTCCTAACTCATTCTATAAGGCTGGCATTGAGAAAGCCTATGAGAAATCTGAGAAAGGCCATGAGAAAGGAAAACTACAAACCAGTATCTCTCATGCATAGAGCTACAAAAAGCCTCACAAAATACTAGTAAGTTAAATCCAGCAATGTGTGAAACATATACCACCACCAAGTAGAATGTATTCCAGTGATGGATGGCCAGTTCATCATTCGAGAAAATCAATCCATATCATCAATCACATGAACAGACTAAAGAAGGAAAAATCATCGATTCTATCAACATATGCAGAAAAAGCATTTGACAAAATCTGATTCCCATTCATGATAAAGACTCTCAGAAAACTAAGACTGGAGAAGAATTTCCTCAACTTGACAAAGTATGTCTACAAAACAAATAAACAAAACACACCATATACAGCTAACATCAAACTTAAAGGTGAGACATAAGATGCTTTCCTCCCAAGATCAGGAGCAAGGGATACCACTGCTAGTCAACATCATACTAAGAGTACTAGCTAATGCAGTAAGATAAGGAAAGGAAATAAAAGGTAAACAGATTGAGAAGGAGAAATAGAGTTGTGGGTTTTTTAAATAGAAAATTCTTTAAAATAACCAGAGAAGCCTGGAAAAAATAAACAATTACAGCAAAGCTATAGGATATAAGATTGATTTGTGCTTTCCTCTTTTCCAACAATGGACAATTCAAGTTTTAAATTAAAAGCACACCATTTATATTAGCACCAAAAAAGAAATGGGTATAAATCTAACAAAATAGGTACCTAACCTATACAGAGACTGTAAAATTAACATGAAGTAAACCAAAGCTCTAAATAAACAGACATCTATATTCCTAGAAGACTCGTTATTTTCAAGATGTCAGTTCGTCCTAACAGGATGCACAGCGGTTCCACAGAACCCCACTGAAATCTTAGTAGGTTGTGGATGTCAACAGACTGACTCTGAAGGTACCATGAAAAGGCACAGGGCCCTGAGAGTCAATAGCAGATCTCTCTATAAAGGTAGTTTTTATCATTAAATACGAGACATGATTTACAGCGTCTTCAAGGAAAGACTTCCCTCGTTTTCATAGTATGATATAAACCAGTTTGGAAAAGATCAAGATTTGGACACAGCACATTACATTCGGAATAAGAAACTCTAGGACGGAGACAGTCGTGCAGCGACTGTTGTAGACACAAGAGTTAAGTCTTAAAATGCGTCCTAAATCCTCACACAGGAATACCATTGAGCTACTCAGAAGTTAGACTGGAAACCGAAAACGGGTCCTAAATACTTACGCAGGAATACCGTTGAACTCGTCAGAAGTGATAAATGAAATTTCCTTGATGTTTCTTTGTCCTCTGGGGGGCTTGCTTAGAGGGGCCGGTTCCATATCCTTGACTGATTCTTTCGGGTTCAGCTCTGACCCTTTGTCACTATAGAAACAGAGATGCAAACAAGTCCATCCTGGCTGGAATTCAGCCAGTCTGAAAAGTTTTCCCAAGTGAAAACCATCCAAATTAAACACAGTTCATCCTGCGGCAGCAATTTTGTAGCTAACTGCCTTTCTTGTCCCTATGGTTCATGAAGATCTAAATAGTGACAAAAATGTTGAAAATTTTCATCCCTAGGTCTTTAGTAATATAGTTCTGGCGTCAGTGGTAGAAACCAGATGACGTCAGCCACCTTCGTCAAGTACCACCAGCTCCAGAGTCAGTGTGTGTGAGTGGAATGAAATCTTCTAAACGCCCCCAACAGCTTCGGTTCCTGACTTCCCAGTTTCTGGACAGGGAAACATCAATCATCCTAAGCCTCTGTCTCCCAACTTATCCTGTTGGCTGGCAGTGCCAGTCCCTTCCAATCACACTCACGTTAGATGCCAGTGAGGAGCATGGATTCTGTCCTGCAAAACTTTTGGAGCCTATGAGAACCCCACTAACAGTGCCTGCCCCACTAGCAACGCCTGTCTAGGCAGAACTATAGCTTCCAGGCTGCTTAACGGCCACGGAGGAACGGAGCCTGTTGTCAGTAACACGTCAAGCCAACTAGCATTATGGTTCCAAGAAAGGACATGGGGCAGAAGAAAGAGTGGATGCAACGCAGGCGCAAGGGAAGGGAATGCCCAGGAAGACAAAGACCTGAGAGGCTGAGAGGGCAGCACCAGCCACAGAGGACACCCAGGCCGGGCGAGGGCAGTGTGGCTGAGCAAGGGCAGTGTGGCTGAGCAGTTGTCGTGATAATGAAAGCTGCCCAGTGCTACAGTGCCGGCATCCTAATCTGAACCCCGCAGGAGGAGCCAGCCCCCACGGTGAGCCTGGCTCACTCCTGCTTGTGCATGTCTGGACCACAGAAAGTTCTGCACTTCCCCTTCAGGTCTTGCTGTATGTGTCAGTTGAAGACAAGCACTCCAACCTGAAAGCTAAGGAATAGGGAACATAGAAGAAAGTTCCTCCTGTTCCCCGGGCACCATTCCTGCTGGATGGCCAAGCCCGGTCCACACTTTGGAGCCCTTGAAAATGATCGCATCCTATGCTGACCTGCTTCCTAGTCCTCTCGTGTATAGTATCTACTCCGGCAGGGGAATGCCCGGGTGTGTAGAAGCCAGACCGTGCCCAAGGACCCTGCTGCATCATCTTCTCCGGGGGACAGGACCCAGCATTGAGACCAGGGCTCCCACCTTACACAGAAAGGCTGGTGCTTGCCGGTCATCCTTTCAAAGGGAAACCGGAGGTTGGTTATGGAAACACCAAACCTGATGCTGTCGGGTCGACTGCAACTCAGGGCAACCCCTGGGTTTACATACAGGTGGTAAAACTGTCCCGCGGAGCTGCTGCTGCTGCTAGTTAATACTGTGTCCATTCCAACTCACGACCAGGCCATGCGTGCGGTGCAGGATTCCTAGACTGGGTTGTCCGTGGTCAAGGCTGTGAGATTCTGGACACAGGCCTGTCTTCTGAGGTACCTCGGGGTGGGTTAGAGCCACCAACCTTACAGCTAGTAGTTGAGTACTGTGCTGACATGAGTCCCTCCTTGATGTGGCCTTTGGCCTGGTCTCTTTGGAAAACCATCTGAGAGATTCCTGTCCCGACTAAACCCTGAGAAGTTATCACTGTGGGGTAGTTTCCTAGCCCAGAGGGTTTGCTACTTTTGTCCAGGTCGGTTGCCATTTCCTGGGTAAGCTGTGAACAACTTGGTTTTGATGCTCTCTCCTTGGTGCTGGGGTGCAGCCTACCCTGAGCTTGGTATGGGCCTGGCAGGGATTGGTCCACAGACTTTGTCAATGAGGCAAGTGACAGCCCAGTCCCTCTTAGTGTGCAAATAAGTTATCAGTGGCTTTCTAAGAGATTGGTCAGTTTATGGCCCTGGGAGGCATGCCATGCCTTGAAACGGACAAGGAGTTTGTACAGTTAAGCACAGAGGTCTGCAAACCGAAAGAAGAGATGCAGCAAGAAAAAGCAAACGACAGCAGAACGAAGAAGCGGAGAAGGAGGAGGCAAGGAATCTCCTAAGAGTTGTAATCGTGGTCAAGGGCTTTTACACAGAAAGAGGGGTGTCAGCAGGGATGAGGGCTACCTGGCTGCCGAGCGGAGCTGAGGGCTTCCCTCCACTGAAGAAGGCAGGCAGACTTTACTCACAGGCTTCTAGGGCTGGTGGCTGAGTTTTAGCCTGAGTTGCACCCCATTCCGTAATAAGCCACTTGGTGGCAGAGCGGCTGTGAGGTCTGTGGTCATCGCAATGGAATGCCAAGCCCAGAATAAAGAGCGTGCCAGGGGAGGGCCAGAGGGGCGAAAAATGCGAAGGAAAGAAATCAAAAGGAGACTCCACCTCGACAGTGTGGGGTGGCATTGTCCCCATGGGCAGCGGGATAGGGGTCTGGTGAAGAGGGGAGGAAGTACTGTTCCCAGTGCGTGTGACAGAAACGGAATCATTGCTGATAAAAGCTGCAGATGCATGAAAAAGCAAGAAGCCTAGAGGTGCGGGCGGGTGTTTGCACATCCAGCGGCAAGAATGGCTGCAAGTGTACTCACCAGCTCTGAGGCGCTGGGACCTGAGGCAAATGGGCAGGGACGTTTTCTTTGAGATGTTGCACGTCTCTGTAATCCTCTTCAAGAGACTCACAGAGTTCCTAAGTTAAGAAACGAAACAGGTGCTCTTCAAGAGGCCTCTGTCCTGCCCGGGCTGTTGCACCACCTTACGAAGAACATGTGTGAGAGATGACACGCCTTGGCCACAAAGCCAGAACTCCCCTGCCGCTGCCGAGTGGCTTCTGACCACAGAGGGTTTCTGATGCGACACACCTTCACAGAGGCAGATTATCTTTCTCCCAAGAAGCAGGGGGTGGGTTTGAACCTCGGGCCTTGTGGCTAGCAGTCACCCGACAGCTGAGCTACAAATGCACCAAATGCAGAATGGGGAGGAGCAGCATGAAAATAAGGGCTCCTGTGATTGCTGCCGCTGCTTTTGGATGGAGAGCTTTCCTTGGCTACTTGATTTCGCTCAGAGAATTGCTATCACCGTGTGCCAGCTGGCAGGGTTGAAGCTGAGGCCTCCCCGAAAGCATTTAGCTTGGGAGGCAACTGAAAAACAGATGAGCGCCTTTGGATGCTCCTTCTGGTAGACGGCTTGTGGCAACGAGCAAACGTCTGTAGTGTGGCCGGCGCAGCAGCAGAGTGCACGCCTGGCTGCTGAGCACCGGGTGCCGACTCGCACATAGTCCAGCTCAACAACGACTCCTACTTCATTAGAACCTTTTTTTTTTGGCCTTTGAATGACCCTGCTGGTATTCTAAATACCAGTGACATAGCTTCCAACATCTTAATGACATGCAAGGCACCCCAGCACGACACACAGGTAGACTGACGGTGGTGACTGACAGCAGGATAAGCGTACAACTCAACCCACTGCCATCGAGCCCACTCCAACTCACAGCGACCCGACAGGACAGAGGGCAACTGCCCCCTGGGTTCCTGAGACTGTGAGTCTTTACGGTAGCAGAAAGCCTCGTCTCTCCCCACAGGGGATAAACTCCCTCACATCTATTCTTAGAATGACCGTCTTCGCAGAGCTTCAGGAGTTTAAGGTTGAAAGGGATGAGAGAGGCTCTATTTATGGTCCGATCTCATCAAACACCTCCATGGCTCTAACAACAGCATGGGGTAATTATGGCACAGATACATTGGCACCAGGAAGCTGCACTTGTATTAGCTGAAGTCAATGAGAAACCTTGTGAACAATTTAGAACAAAATACACACGGAGTACGGATCAAGATTTTTTTTTTCAAGAGTCATTGTATCAAAATGTATTGAAACAGAGAAATGCAGAAAGGAAGGGACTTGAGAAATCATTCCAAAGAGCCCGGTGGCCGTGGTGTCATGGGCGGTGTGCAGGGCTGCTAAGTGCAAGGTCAGCCATTGAAACCCCCAGAGAACGAAGACACTCCCTGCTCCTGCAGAGACAGAAACCCTACCCAGCGTCTCTGCTCAGCATGATCTGTGCCTTTTCACAAGGGCACCCTGAGGCCCACGGAGGGAGCGTACTTTCTCAGGGTGGCAGAGAGTACTAGGGGCACCCAGGGGAATGCACGTCTCTCACCAGCACAGCTTCCACTTCAACGGAATCGAAGAGCTTTAGAAAATGCGGCTCGGTAACGCTCCCCTGCTTGGGCTACCCTCCTGAAGAACAACACCTGTGGAGGTAGCAAGCTCCTTGCCCTGGAGAAACGAAGCATGAACGGTGCTGCAGCCCCCGGGTTCTCACATACTCGCCATCTAAGAACGGCATAACCTGGCGATTCAAGCATTTACAGGTATTGCCCTTTTGACTTCGTTTCTGAATAAGAAATACATTACCTTGAGTGAATTGTTGGTCTGTTCTTGATATTCGATTTCCGATTCCAATTTATTCAAAATTTCGTTTACGACAATGATCTCATCTCCAATTTTATTTAAGATAGTCTTTAAGGCAGGTTTGTGGCCTATTATGAGCACAGATAAAATGATCAGATTACACAGCGAAGCATTAACACAGAGACACCCATTTGAACTCCTGAAACAGGAAGCTTTACTTTACAGACTACGGGGAAAGGGGCTATTGCACCTAGATTTGTCTCACCTAGGGTAATCTCCAGACCCCATGTCTAAGGAGTACAGAAGAGGAGGGGGTGGCAAGTACCACAGACCCTGAGTCTGACAAATCCTCCACTCTTTAAGAAAATGCCTAGAAATGCTAGATTAAATAAACAGCTTTCTACCGGCTTAGCTAGGAGTCCTGGGGGGGAGGGGGGGGTAGTGGGTGAAGAGCTGGATTGGTAACCACAAGTTCAAGGGTGTGACCCAGCAGCCACTCTTCAGAAGCAAAATGAGGCTTTCAGCCCCTGCAAAGATTTAGTCTTGGAAACCCACGGGGGTTTCTGTTATACAGTCACTAGAGGCAGAATCAGACCAATGGCAGTTGAGTGTTCCCCCCCCACCCCACTTTGGATATTATTATTTAAATAGATCACTTTCCTGGGGCTCTTACAGCTCTTACAACAATCCATCCATCAATTGTATCGAGCACACTGGTACATATGCTGCCATAAACATTTCCAAAACATTTTCCTTCTACTTGAGCCCTTGGCAGTTGAGTCTTAACAAGCTCAGTTGAGCTTTCATGAGGGCTGCTTCACCTGAAGGGAGAACCACAGGCCAGGCGCGCGCGCTGCGTGCATGCGTGTGTGTGTGTGTGTGTGTGTGTGTGTGTGTGTGTGTGTACGTACACCACTTAATTCCAACCACTGGCCAGAGAGGGCACATTATGTGTCCCCCTGGGAATCTGTAATATATGTTTGTCCTCACTTGGGTTGTGGGGGGGTGGGGGTGTTTCATACTTACACTATTCAAACTATTCAAGGCCCCTGAGCAAAGAAAATAATACAAATCATTGGTCAACGATAACCTTGGCATGCCTGGCAAACCTCTTATAAAATAAGATGTAAACCACTCATAGCCAAACTCCACCTCCTAGTGCGAACATTCAGCACCCTTAGCTGCTAACCAGGGCTAGTAGTTTGCCTCCACCCAGAGGCACCTGGGGAGAAAGGCTTGGTGAGGGTCTTTCTGAAAACCAGTCATTGGAAATGCTAGAGTAGTTTCCTCTAAAATACATGGGGTTGCCATGAATGAGAATGAACTCAATGGCTACTGGTTTGTATCTTTTAAAATTATTATTAAATAATTAAACAAACCAAAAATAAACCGCACAACTATCATCGAGTAGAAGCCAACTCCTAGCAACTGAATAGGACAGGCTAGAACTGCCCCTGTAAGTTTCAGACTAATTGGCGGGAGGTTTCAAAATGCTGACCTTGTATACCACAGCACAATTCCGACCCACTAAGCCAGCAGGGTTCCTAGTAAACAGATAATAGAACCAAATTATTCTCCCTCTTGTCAAAATGGCAGTTGTCTGGGTTGCAGTAATCTAAGTCACACCGCTTTCAGCCTAGTATAACTTACCTTTGCAATATTCAGAAAATTGATACTAAAAGGTTTTAAAAATTACTAGTCAAAGTTCCCTTCCTAAAAGACAACCATTTAACCAGGCATTGAGATATCATGCAAAGCGGAACAACAAATTAAAATGCATTTTTTTTAAAAATCAGTGGACTCTCGTTTTACTTACCACAATTTCTTAATGACAGCGTGTGTTTAATATTGCCAATCTTTTCGTTAATGTAAGTGCATAATTGTTCCAGATCGGAGGAGTCCATTCTTTAAGCTGCTTTTAAAAATATCAAATAAGTAAGCATATTCTATAGAAGAGGGAAGGAGAAAAAAAATAAAAGCCAGGCAAATTTCTGTTCACTTTCAAAATCCCAAAATGATAGATTTAGGCAAATTCCCTGGAAAGGAGAGTATTCATGAACAACTCAAAGCAGTTTCTTTCCATTACAAATTTCCGTTTCTAACCAACCTACAATACTGACTTGTCGTACAGCCCTCTGTAGGTAATGGATCCCACACCAGAATCGTGAACCTCTCACGGCCGCCGAGTCAATGCTGACTCCGAGCAGCCCCGAGACTGTAACTGCTTATGGGCGTGGAAAACCGTCTTTCTCTCGCTGAGCTGCACTACACCACCAGAATACAGGAGGTGACTCTGGGTCATGTCCTTAAGGAATTCAGGGGGCAAATGCACTATACGGGAGCAGACAGCCTCTTCTTTTTTGCATAAACATTGGCACTGATGTCTTTTTTAACACACGGATTTTAATAGGAAAAAAACCCACAAAAAACATGCAAGTCCTAAGAAACAAACCCAGAAAGCATTTCTCCTAGGTTGTGGGGGACTGCAGCGTGGAAGTTTGGGGTCGGGTAGGAGAGGGGTACGAATTACTATTAACTACGAGGACAGGCCAGAAGGAGCCCCCAAAGCATCCACAGCAGCTTAAAGACGCCGGACAAATGTGAACCCCTGCCCCACCGTCCCAGCCTTAGGGTTCAGAACACCCCAACACCAAACCCCGACCTCGCGCTGATCCGGGCACTGATGTCCACTGGCTACCGGAAGTCCCAAGACGGAACTCAGAGGGAAAATTTGAACAGCCCGCCTCGAACTGGCGCCGCGCAGGCGCAGATCTCCGTCCTCGCGATAGGTCAGTTCTGCGACTGCGCGCCGTTTCGCGTTGTCATGGCAACAGCTGAATGGGCGCGGTGGGCGATGGGTAAATTTAAAGACAGCAGCGCGGTCATGTCGCTCCTACCTGCTGCGTGGCAAGGACTTTCCGTCAATCGCCAACTCTGACTGCCACCCAGCCGGGACCCAGGGCTGAGAAGAACGAAAAAAAGAGAAAACTACTATATTAACACCTCGGGAGAAAGAGTTACAATTTTGGAACCCACAGGGTCGCTCGGTCCTGCAGGGTCGCGATGAGTCGGCATCGACTCTTCTGACCTACAGCGGCCCAGACTGGAAACCGTTATGGAGCAGACAGCCTCTTCTTTCTCCCCGGGAGCGAATGGTGGGTTTGAACCGCCAAGCTGGCGATTAGCGCTCAGGCAACTGCTCCAACCGGGGCTCCTTACTACACATAACAATCCCCACCCTTGCCAAAGGGTAAAGGGAGCCAGGAAGGGAAAGCTGTGCCAGGGTCGCGATCAAAGCCAGCGCGCTGGAAGAGGGGTTGTAGGAAGGGACTTAGACGGGTGCAAAAACCTGAGAATCCCAACAGCCTAGAAGCAAAACCCTCAAATGATGGACAAATGGCTCAGAATTCGCAGATCGAAGGATGCTGTGGAAGTAGGAATTGGTCAATAACTTTTCCTCAGGCTAACCTACCCAGGTCTATCTGCTGAGCGCTGGTGCTAATAAATAGCCCTAGTTTCCCCCAGAAAATCGTCACTCTCCCTTGCGGCGACAGCTTGTCTGGGGTGATTGCTATCTACTTGTTCTTTTCTCCGTGGGTGCCGTACAGATAGGCCCTTTGATCGAGGAACCACCTGCCTCTTTCTCCTGATTCGTCTGCACCCACTGTGGCATCTTTTAGAGCTTCCTGGACAAAGCCGCTTAAATTCTAGAATCTCGATTTCTGGATTCGTGGAATTTGGATGACCCACTGGGACCATTTGCCCCCAGGTGTTCTTTTGACCTTTAACTCTCCTTCCAGTCAAACAAACAGCGTAGTGGAGACCATCTTGCCTTAGGTATTTACTTATCTGCAAGCAGCCAGCTTGGAAAAGCAGGACCCCCAGTGTCTGAGCAGAGGTTCTAGTTTAAGATGTATGGTGGGTCCGTGGTAACGATTTCTGTATCTGATGATCCTGAAACCCTGCACTGTGCTTTGACTTTTATCTCCTGAGACATTAAGAGGTACAGTGACCTATATAATGCGTTTCCATTCAGGTTACTGCTGCAGGTTCAAGTTGTACCTGTTCACAATAAGCATGGTTTGCTACACTCAGTTTTGGTGCTTCTCTGCACATTTAAGTTTTTGGCATTGGAGAGGCAGATGCTGAACTCTTTTTAACAAATTCAGTAGTGGCAAGTAGCGGTTCTGAAACTATTTTCCATGTGAACTGTTAAGGGTAAGCAGGAACCCTGGTAAAACTGTAGTGGTTGCACAATGGGCTGCTAGCCTTAAGGTCAGCAGTTAGAAACCACCAGCCGCTTCCGGGAGAAGACGGACTTTCTACTCCTGTAAAGAATTACAGTCTCAGAAACCCACAGAGGCAGTTCTGTTCTGTTCCACTGGGTCTCTGAGTCTGCACTGACTAAATGGCAGTGAGTTTGAGTAAGGGTAAGAAAACCATTGTGCTGGTATTGGAAATCAGGGTTTTCCTTGTGAAAAGGGGAACATAAATGTGCACTGGGGGAAGAAAAGGTGGAGATGCCGCAGTTGGATGGCACTCAGGGGTATCAATATGAACTTCGGATGTCTGATACGTGAGTTGAACTGAGCCCTCTGTACTGCTGTGTGGACTAATTAGTAGTTATATTCCTTCTTGCTGTATAAACCTATCTGTCTATATATCTATATATAATCATAAGTGTCCTGGTTTTGTTTCTCTAGAGAACCCTGCCTAACACAGGAGGGTTCTTCTACTTTCCCCCTTTGTGGAATACAGAGCAACTAATAGAACTGGGATTTCTGAACCCAGGCACTGAGAAGGTCTGCACGTACTTTTTTTTTATTACAGTAAGACTTTAAAAACAACAAAAAAAGAAGCTTATTTAAACAAGATGCTTGACTTGAAGGGAAAACTGTCTAGGTTTCCTTACTTTGAGAGTAATTGACCCTTACTTAAAGACAGATCACCCCACATGTAACAGCTACATACGAAAAAGTTTTAAATTGTCCTCAGTTTTACAACGATATATGAAAAACATTAAAATTCTCCAAGTGAACCGGGCATGCAAGGATTTATGTCCGTTTGGGGTTCTGTTGTGGATGCTAACCAGTGAGGACACCCTAACCCACTGGAACATACAGAGGGGCACTGGGCGGGCAGGCCTCTAATGGAGAAGGGGGTGTGCTCCCAGAACCAGGCCTTTCCCCACCCCATCTCCACTGGATGCCGATCAAGACATACCACTGGCCACTTAGTGAGAACAAAGTAAACAAAGGGGGGAGATGCAGTATGCTGTGCACATGCGCCGGTGACCTGCTGTACATGTAGGGCTGGGGAGGGGACTTGAAAGAATGAGATCACTACACTGTCGTCATCGTCAGGGAGTGGTAGAACCAAATGGTGGTTTTTGATGGAGACGAGGTTCTTGGTCGGTGGGAACAGATTTCCGGAGGAAAGGACCAGGCTCCTGCCTGCTGCTGGGACACATCCATTTGTTTATCTTCATCCTCCATTTCCAACTGCGCGCCTGTGTCTGTTTCATTGATTGGATGCCCGTCAAGTTGGAATCTGATCGGCCTCAATGATAAACCCTGCCGTTCACAGTAGGCTTTCATTAGTTTACTAAGTGGCTATACCACTTAGGCTTAAACCGCACCACACAACCACCCTGCCCTGCCACCTTCACATAAGTGTGATCGCTGTTCTCATCTGTTCTCCTTGTCCTTGGTTTCTCACCTGCCAGGGCGAGGGCTGGTCTCCTCCTCTGCTGCTTCACTAAAGAGGCACCAGGGCCGCACTGAGGAACGCGCGGCAGCCCCAGGTAAGTGGGGACCCTCACTCGAGTATAAGCCGAGGGGGTATTTTTCAGCATAAAAAATGTGCTGAAAAACCCAGCTTATACAACTCACTTTCATGGAATAGCTAATATACTGAAAGTCCTTCACCTCCTGTGGGCTGCCGGATCCAAGGTCAAGGAAGCAGACAGCAGTCTTCCTTCAAGCATGGCAGGCAGAGTCTGCCCACAGGCAGCAGACAGCATGGTGGGTCAACAAGTCAGTAGCACAAGAACTTGGTGAAGCAGGTGCAGATGGGATATCTAACTCATGCAAGGTGACAGGATCCACCAGCTTCAAGCTCAAGCGATGTTCGCACCAGCAGCGTGGAGAAGCAGGTCTCGAAGGAGCCTCAAGCACTAATGACGTGGTCCATGTGGCTTGGCCCACAGGTAGTGCAGCACACCAGCTCAAGCAGCAGCACACTGGGCTGATCACCAGGGAGCAAGAGGAAGATGGCATGCCAGCCACCTTTTTTTTTCTCAGTCGCCCCCTGTTTATCTTGCCAAGCTGCAACCTGATTAAACTCTGCCCACATGTTCCTATGGGCCTAGTTGGCACAATAAACCTGTCACACCACTGTAGGGAGCAGGCACAATAGTGAAAGTCGTGCGGGCTCTCGTCTTCAGGGAATGATGGCAATGACAACTGTTTCCATGTCTTGTGTACTCAGTGAAACAGACAATAAAACGTTTACATATCTTTGTCCAATTAATGTTGTGTGTTTCAATGGTGTTAGACTGCACCCTGGCTGAATTATTCCTTCCGTGTGACCATTCCGTGAGGGGATGTCCAATTGTCTACAATCAGATTCACATAAGATTTTGTGTTAACTAGTCTGTGTGATCACAAGGTGTCCATCTGGTATCAGGTATCAGAAGACCAAAACAAAATCATATCGATGCAAACAAAGGGGATCAGAGTGGAGACCCAAAGCTCATCTGTAGACAATTTTGAAAATAATGATGGCAACATATGTACAGATGTGCTTGATACAAGTGATACATGGATTGTTCTAGGAGCTTTGAGAGCCCCCAATATAATGATTAAAAGAAAGAAAGAAAATCAACTTCCTCACTTCACAGTGTTCCGTGTCCTAAAGTGATTTATTACTCAGAAGTTTGTTTTTGGTTGTTGTCGTTGCTGTTTGTTTTTAAGCAGAGCAGAGGAAAAATTAAAAGGGCTTCGTTTCCCCCAAGTTCTGAGGATGGCATCATCATAAACCAGGGCTGCTTCCTGTGAGGTAGACGTCAGCTACGTCTCCACCCCTCAGTCTCATCCTCGGATTCTAGCTCCAGCCATCCTTCCCTTAGCCCTCTCTGCTTTTCTGCTAGGTCCTTTAGTTTGTTGCAGTAGCTATGCAGAACTCACAGACTATACTCACAATTAAGGAGCTTATAGGTTTTGAAACCGGGTCCAGACCAAGGCAGCCACTTGTACCAGCTTCTCGAGAAGCTGAATTTCAAAACACCTGAACTTCAAAGCACCGGCCTTCAGCGTTTCACAGAACTTACCTACCAGACAGAACACAGCCCCCCTCTCTCTAGCATTGTTTCCTAAGAACAAGATGTCCTCCCGAGACAGAACACAGCCCCCCTCCTCCCTAGCATTGTTTCCTAGGAACAACATGATTTACTAACAAAACGTCATCTGGCCCGAAACTTGCAACCACAGCACAAAGAGCCTCCATTCCCCTTCCGGCTCCTGTGCCTTCAAGCTCATGCCCTATATATGTCCCACCGCCCCAGTACCAGGTGCAACTTCCCTGACCTAACTTGTTGGGTCTCAGAACCCGTCCAGGGGCTTAAGATGGCCCCATCCCTTTCTCTGCTCTCCCTTCCCTCCCGGGAGTTTTTTCCCTGCCTCAATAAAATCTTTCTCAACTTCATATTCCTGGCTAAACTCTATCTCTGTTCC